AGGGAAAAACCGACCCAAACTGAACCATGAACACTCCTACCTCCAGCCTCTCGTTAACACCCCGCGTCTCGTCAATTAAAACTATGTCATCAGCAAATAACTAAACCAAATCGATAAATTGGAGGATGGGGTCTTTTCCTCTCACATTTAACCTTGATTAATATCTTTTTCACTCCATAATCTTTAAGAAAAATGGAGATGTATTTTACTCCATAGCATCACTTTACTCAAAAGTAGTTCTATTGTTGGTTAAAGTTTAATTACTGAATTCGATGGCCCTTACACTTCATTAGCTATCGGAAGATTTCTGAAGCATGCACTCTTGGATATTTGAAGTATTAGTCTTCAAATCTTGTTCATTATACAGGCTACTAACCTTCTTCAGGCAAAAATGGTCCGTAACATTAGAATATTATTTTGCCCAACTATCGAAGTCCTACCTCATTAACAAGTGCAAAATAGTCTAAAAGGAAGAGGGGGAAAATCCAATACATTTAGGGAAACTGCACCAGCTTTGTCAATTTATAAGTAGTTTATTATAAAAATTAATTAATTCATAAAATATTATTAATATTGGCAAATTAGTTATTTGTAACAAAAAAATATTTATTTTTTTCTTTATTTTGAGTGGGTGTTATTAGAATAGATTGGATACATTTTAAGGAGCTTGAATTTCAGTTTGAGATGATTTGGTGGAGTTTTGAGGTGGGTTGGATTAAAAATTTGAAATAAAAGTTGAACATGAAAAAAATGACATGTGTATCACATTGTGTATCATTTGTGTATCACATATGTATCATATTTGTATCAAATGTGTATCACATATATATCCATGTGTGTGTGATACATGCGTCATACATGTTTGAAATATGTGTTGCAGAAGAATTTTTTGAACTCGATTTTAACTACAAATTTTGATACCAAATCAGTCCAAATCACGTCCAATTTTGTATATTGACTCATCTATATGTTTTCAATGAATTTCAATTATACCCATCGAAAAATATCCTTTTTTGCTTATGTATGTGTGTGTGTGTGTGTGTGTATGTGCGTATGTATGTATTTCTATGATTCTATCACTTTGTTTGCTACCTCATCCATAAAATGTTGCCAATCACGCTTAAAAATATGAAAAGAGATCTTTGCGTATGATTCTTGGAGAGAAAGAAGCTTATTTATTTCGGTTTACAATTTCTTTATGCGTTTGGCTAATTTTGGTAAGTCTATAATTATTTGGCTTGAGATTGGTAAATTAGCACTTATTTGGAACATTTCTGTAAGATTCCCATATATTTATGTGTGATCAAAAACGAAAAACCAAATCAAACCAAACCGACAATAACTAAACTAATATTTTATTATTATTATATTTGATTTGATTTCATAAACGTAGGATGTTTCTTGTACCGGACTGTCCTTTTTTATTTGATTTAGTTTGATTTTAATAATTATAAACAAATTAAATTGATTTGATTTTGATTTTAACAAAAAAATCGACTCAAATCGAACCGCCTCTAATTCAACGATTGCATTATTATGCTACGATTAATTGGACAGAAAACAACTCCATAAGTTTTTAGTTAGTGGAGGTGATCTCCTATCCCCTCCTTTTTTACTTGGCCACACAGAGGAAACCAAGACGTTGTATACATAATACACCACTAACCTGTTATTGCGTTTGGAGTCGGCAAATACTACAAAAATCATACTTGCAGAAGGACATAGGGAAGGAATATAAATGTACAAATATAATCTAGAACAAACATACTTCTCTAAACCAAAAATGCAATGGAACATACTTAATTTTGCCAAAGAAAAAAAATCAATGTAAATAATAAGACATCAACTCAATTGCACAACACATGTCAACGAGTCAATCTATTTCCGGAATATGTAAAGAGTCCATACACACTTAAACTATATAAATCTAGAATTAATATCAATATGAGACAATTCATTCTAACATTCTAAACTATCAATCTAACTTCTAATTTTTTGCATAAGCTCTAACAAATTTTGAAAAGAAAAAAATGCAATCTCTTGTCTCATCCGTTGAACTTCTTTGCAAAGACATTTATCCATTCATCGTCGTCACTATCATACTCGTAGCAAATATGTAATATGGGCAATATTTTGGCTAATGGAGTCCATCTCACGTAAGTATAAGAATCTTTGTAGACTTTGTTGGCAATATTCTTTGGGACCCAAAAATATTGCATTGTGTGGTGCACATCATTTGCACAAGTTGTATCTCTTTTTTTACACCTAAGAGGCCAAAACGTTTTTGCCTATAAAAGGGAAGGCCATTAGTTCATTTTAAACACACCAACAAGACTTGAGTCTTCATTTCTTGTTTCTTCCTTTCCTCCTTTATTAAGAGTGTTTTGTATGAGAGTTAGTGTTGGGAAACACTTGTGTGAATCCATTCTTTGGAGTGATCTTGTGAGGTTATTCTCTTAGGGTATTTGGGATTAATTAGAGTTTTACTCTAATTTTGTACTCTCTTTTGTACTCTTGTTGGTATAGTAAAATTGCTCCTCTCCGCTTGTGGACGTAGGTCACTTTGACCCACGTTAAATTTGTGTCTTCTTTATATGCTTTAATTGTCATTATTATCAACTTGTATTGTATTTGTTATTATTATTATAATGTTGTTTGACTAAATACCGCACTACCCAAGTTCTCGATCCTAACAAAATATCTACCGTGCCTCGAGAAAGTGCTTCACAATGTAACAAAAATTTACCTTGCTTTGATAAAATATAAAAAGAGAAAAAACGTTTTGAAGATTGTAACATTATGTTACAAATACGGATCACCACCCTATAGTAACATATTTCGTTACTTTTATTTTATTTCTTTCCTTCTTTGCATAATCCATCTACTTTACAAAGAGCATTTATAACAAATTTTACTAATTATAAGACCTCAAATTCTTATACAGAGAAACCACGATCGAAGAGCGATCTAATTCGACAAACACCAGCAATCAAGAGCATCAAGTTTTACCACATCCTTAAACTCAAACACCAACAGTAGGGGTATACAAAAGAAAACTGATAAACCGCAATAAACCGATAATTCGAGTCAAATCGGGAAAAAACTCGATGTGATTTTAAAAAAAAGTCAAACCGAAATCAAACCAACCTGATAGTACATTTATATAATTTTTAAAAATATTTTATACATATAAATATTTATTGTAATATAATTTATAAATATTTTATAAACTTTTTCACAGTTTTATCTTTTAACGTATTATTTCAAATTTAGACTTAACATTCTTGAATGGTAAATAAATTTTAAAGCCCATAAATATAGTAACTCAAACGAAGTTCAAATCAATACTAATGCTAACAAAAGAAATTCAATTCAATACTAGAAATGACGATAGTGTTGAATAATTATTTTAGTTTTACATTGGTTTATAGTGAAAATGCATAACTTAGTTTATCTTTTTCTTTAGTGCTTAGTTACGTAATTAATATTATTACTTATTAGCTTATTTTAGCAGGACCTATATAGTATTTTTAGATTATGTTAATTTTCATTCTAGCTTATTAATTAGCAATATTTGTTTTACGTAATTTTATTATTTTATCTTTGTTATTGAATATTTTAGTAATGCTATGACTTATCTCATATTATTGTGTTAGTTTCTTGGAAAATACATTATATAGTTGTATTTTACTAGGACTTAAGAAATATTTGGAGCACAAGTTACATATTTTATGCTATGAAGACTTGGAAAATCAAGACTATTTTTCATACATATTTTTCAATTTTGGCAATTCTAGACTATTCTTCTATCCTAATATAGTGGCTTTAGCTTTCCAGTACTCGCGTAATCTGACAATTTCGTACTCTTGATTATGTTCCTCCATTCGGACCATTCCTAGTAATGTCGGCTTTTAACTTTCTAAATATACCAGAGAAACTGAAAAAAAAATCGTTTGATTTTATGTCTAGTCACTAAGAAAGCAAAAACAATCTCAATTTCCTACTTTCCTCTCCTTCAGTGGCGGAGCTGCAGTTCTCCAAGGATGGTCAGGCGCACGCCCTTCGCCGGAAAATTATACGGTGCATATAAATAAAATGTTGTTATATTTTAATATATAAAATAGCTTGCACACTCTTAACATAACTAGGTGAGGTAGCCCCGAAGAGTGTGCAAAATATTCCAAAGTAGAAGTGTGTCATTTCCAAATCTCAACCAACCTTTGACTTTCTTTTTCTTTTTTAATTTTTTAATAAACAAATATTAAAGATCATTATTTAATTAAAAGCTACATAATAAAAAATTCTAAAAGTTCTTTACTAGATCTAAACCTAACTTTGTAAAAATAGAAAGAAGAAACACAGAGGAGAAACAAAAGACCATCCCTTGCTTTTTGCCTTGCTAGCCTGTTGCGTTATTGTCGGATGCGCATGAAATCTTGCACTCTAACTCTGAATCTGATTCAATTTCAGGTTAGACTCTTCTGTCTTTCTTTTTTTTTTTTTTTTTTGGCTCAATTTATAATCTAAATTTTATTGTTAGAGTCTTTAGAGATTGAAAATTTACTAAATATTTCTAAATCTCTTAAATAATTTACAACTAGAATAAAATAACTTATACTTAGATTACCCGATTCATAACATATATTTGTTCTTTAAAAAAGAAATTAAGAAAAAATTTGGTGGATGTGTATACGAATTTGGTTTTTAAATGTTTCTTTCATGATGCCTAAGCTCATATTAAGAGGAAAAAAAACTCATATTAAGAAGCAAAATATGTATATTGCTCTTGGATCCTGCTAATCAAGCTGGAGTGGTCGTAAAGTTTAGCTTTTTTGACTTGTGTAGTGTTAATAAATGTTCTTTCTATTTCAAAAAAGTGCGTTCAAGTGGAAGAACTTATGCTATTGGTTTCAAATATTTTGAATTTGTTGGGAGCTTCTTTTAAACGTATGGATGAACTTCGAGAATCTCAAAAAGAAAAACTCCAAGAGGCATAAGAAATGGGTGAGCTAGAAATAGGTAGAGGCTTGAATCAAGAGCTTGGTCTTGTTAGAGGCGGTGATACTCGTTGGGGATCTCACTACAAGTCATTTAGGAATTTTATATTTTTGTTTGACTCGATTGTTGATGTACGTGATATTGATCAAAGGTTCTCCAATTTAGGTGGACTTGGTGAACTTTCAAAAAAATTAGTTGAGACAAAGAAGAATATTACTTATCCTCTTGTATTCTGCTTAGTGAAACTTGTTTTGCTTCTGCCAGTTGCCACTGCAACTGTTGAAAGGGCTCTTTCTGCAATAAAATTTATCAAGAATGACTTGCGGAATCGAATGGATGATGAATTTTTGGACGGTTGCATAGTGCCTTATGTAGAAAAAAAAAGTATTTCGTACTATTTCTAATGAGGTTATTATAAAAATAATTTAAGAGAGGAGACCTCGTCGAGTACAATTGTAATAATATATTTAAATTGTGCTTTCAGTATTAATATTTTTTTTTGTTGATTCCTTTATATTGGTTTTGATTTATACAATAGTTATGTTAAAGTATTTTTTTGATTTAGCTAAATATTGTATATTTTATTATAAAAAAATTTGGTACACCCATTCATAAAAAAAATATTTACTTATTCAAAGGTTGAACACCCTTCGTGAAATTTCTGGCTACGTCACTGCTCTCCTTTATCAGGCTCCTAAGCTTGCATTGCATATAGACGTCATAAAATAGAGTGCAACGATAACAAGAGTGAAAAAGGAGTTTGAAAATTTTTTTTCTGAAGAAACTTTGTCAAATTTAATACTCTAAAATTCAAAAATTATTTCATAAGGTTCACCGATAAATTTTAGACAGCCCAACAATTGGAATATTAAAATACATTTTATTCATTTTCGGCGGTTGCCTAATGAAAACAAAATGAAGCTAAGGGAGCTATTTGGGGCTAAAAATTGGAGTTAGAAACGTTAGAAACTTATATGCACCGCATGTTTACGCCCAACTAATAAATAAATAACACTTATCACTTTATTTAACTATAGCTAATTACTTATGTATTTTGCACATAATCTTAATTAATAACATTAAAAGTACTTATTATCTTGCTAAATATATTCTCCGTTGTGTTCTAAAACGACAACATCATGTAGATTGATTTTATTTTATGTTACTGTACTTTCTTTTTACTTTTTATAAAGAAAATTTTCTCAAATTAAATAGATATTATCCTTAAAAAAAAAAATCAAAAGTTGACAGACTCATACAAAAAAAAGATTCATAGAATTGCACCTAACTTTCATGCTTACACTGTTACTAATCATGAAAATTAATAATATATATTAAAAATAACTTAATCTGGAATAGAAAATTAAACTTATGTTTTAACAGTTTTTTCTTAAAAAGAATAATTCTTTCAGCATGCAAGTATACTTGTAATTAAAAGCATGAAATTAACAAACCTGTATGTATTCCAATCTCTTAACTCCCAACTAGTCGTAGTATATAGGGGAATAACGGAAACTTCCGATTGAACCAGAACCTAGAAGAAAAACGATATGTAGTAACAAATCGGTGACTTTAACTCTAAACTTTCTAACTTTAAGTTATTATGGCTTTATTTTCTTTTTAAATTTTTTATTTGTTAAAAGTAGGACTCCCTTATTGCATTTCAACTATTTTCTAGTTCTTATGATAATGTTATTATTTCTTTGGTTTCTATTTGATGGTACTAATATATTGTCCCTTCCCTTCTCTTCTCGTCTTTTCCGTCTTCTTGAGCCGAGGGTCTTTCGGAAACAGCCTCTCTACTCCTTCGGGATAGGGGTAAGGTCTGCGTACACATTACCTTCCCCAAACCCCACTTGTGGGATTTTATTGGGTTGTTGTTGTTGTAAAAGTAGGACTCCTTATAGCCTTGGTTGTCTTCTATGGTTAACTTAAGTAAATCGGGTGTAAACACCCGGGTGCAAGTAAGTTTTTACCGAAACTATTTGGAGTTAAAGAGAACTAAGAATAAAAAACTGCCTTGAAACTAACCCTTTTATGGATTTTATCCAAGTTCAGGCATTTTTTCTGGTATCGAAACTGCCTGACCACCTATAGAAAAAAATGTAGCAGCTTGTTTGGATGATGCAGGGTAGGAATATCCCGATTCCTCTTACTTAACAAATTAACACAAGAATATTCTTTATGAATTCATTTTAGACGATCTAATGTCACTGAAACATAGGGGCTAGAGTAATTTGATAGGCAAATAGAACATTTAGACTTCTATTTAACAAATTGCATAGGTTAGTAATCCAAATTAATTAATTAATTCTATGAAAGTGGATATAAAATTGTAAGACATAATTAAGTAAATAAAAGTGTGCTTTCTCTAAGAGCTTAAACTTTTGGTGAGATGATCACACACTTCATATGGTATTAGAGCATGCAGAGGTCCTGAGTTCGAGTCACAACGCCACCATTATCAAAGAATGAATTTTCACATGTTTGGAAGTCAATAAAAGTAACAAACAATTTTTTAATTTAATAATCTGTAAAACATATTATCTGGGGAAAGAGTCAAAACTAATAAGCTCCAAATCCCATACTAAAAACGGAAAAGTAGCCATAACATTTTTCAATATGTTTGTTGAAAGTTCTTTTGGAAAATAAATTAAAAAGAAAGAATGGAAAAAATTCATCCCTTTAATGTCCAATACAATACTTGATAGTTGATAGTAACCACTGTGAACACTAATTTGAAGGGTCTAAATTCATTTTGTATTAACACTTACCTAGAGTTTCGTATTGAATTTTACAATCTGAAAAAAGTAAAGAATTGGTATGAAATTTCTGCGTATAATTAGTATGAAATTTTTGCTCCTCTTGCTTTCAAGTATTGCGTACAAGGCTATAGTGAAAATAGCCAGCAAATTTCTATTGTGAAAAGTATGATTTATTAAAAATAAAATAATGCTTTCTGTACAACCCAAGAAAACAAGATTGTATTAATAGAGAAATCATATTTTGTTTTGAATCAAGTATAGTTTCTTGCGTTGACATTTGACTGGCTGTCGCCTGTCAGTGGTGTGAATTTATTTAAGGGGAGTAACCGTTTGTTTCAACTATGGATAATTGAACACTTGCACACGCATACTAATCATAATAATATAACTTTGACAATATCATTTTTAATACCGAATATAACAAAGACACTTAAACGAATATATCTTACCTACAATCATGTTTTTAATCAACGGATTAGACAACATTATTGTTGTGTTCTCTTAGTCAATTCATGTAGATGTTTTTTTCTTCATTTACAGAAACAGGTGAAACAATAAATTTAAAAAAGACATAATTTTTTCTATTTTCCTCCTCCCCGGCTCTAACAAAACAGCTGACCACTTTTATAAACGCTCCCTATAGAACCCAAAAAATAAAAAGATAGACACAGATTCAACAAAGTTGCACTACCATATAACTTTGACTAAGGAAAACAGAAAATGGAGAACAAAACCATTTTTATGATATTGAGACATAGATTAGGCCACAAAATTGCTAACACATTTCAACAAAGTATCATCGCAGTAATGTGAGACAAAATAGCTTGACATGTTCTTTGTAAAGATAAATTTCTCATGACCTAACTTTCTGGAATTTGTTTGGGCGACCACCTGAATCGTTTCCCCTTGGACGCGAATGCTTCCCGCCTCTGTTGTATCTTCCTCCCCTATGTCCATGAACAATAACAATAGAGTTAAAACAGAATACATTCAAAAATACATGGCAAACTACAAAAGCTTTTCTGCTCCAAAGCAAATAACGATGGCACTAAGAGAAAGTTGTCAACTGTGACCATATCCAACTCATTTAAGTAGGGCCAGGGGATAATATATCATCATAAAATATATCCATATCTCCACATTCATTGATACACTACTTTCACTATGATCTACACATTTTATTTTAGTTTCCTGTTGCAGTGACGTGGTACTCATGCTCATTGATACAAGAGTTTCTTTCTCACGCACCACTATACTAGACCAAATATCCCAAATAGGCTTCGGAAGAATCCAGAAAATACATCAGCTATGAACACGTAAATACTCCTCAAGTCACAAGTAACATGTACATGGTCATCTATTTACTGTTATCTTTTCCGGAGAACCCTCCAATTAATTGGATTGTATAGTCCAACATGCCTTTTGAGAAAGAATCCAACAGAACCTTATGCCCACGTAAAGAACCAAGTAAGGCAATAGATGAGCTAAGGGCTTACCTTCCCCTATTCCCTTTATTAAAGTCACGGCGTTTGTCCTGGTTATTACGGAACATACTCCAGTATTCCTTCTCAGCATCACCTGATAAAAAAGTAGCACACAAGTAAAAATCAAGTTATAGAAGCAATTCACAAACAAAAAGATGATATAAATAAGATAATATAATAGGAGTACAAAATAAAGAACAGCTGTTATATTTGAAGTGGTGGATCAAAAACAAATGTTTATTCCCCCAAAGAAACAATATATAGCTTCAACTCATAACATTGGCCAATTGATAGAACAAAAGCACCCACTAATAGCCACTTCAGCTGATTCTGTAGGTACATTCAATGTAGCCAATATCCTCAACAGTAAAACCTGCTCCCCCTTCCCCTCACCCAATTTCACTCCTTAACCTAAAAAGCTCAATGAGGTCTCCAACACATGCAAGATAATAGGAAAAGAATGCGTTAAGATTGCAATCAAAAGAGCCGAAGAACAGTCGGCACCCACCAGTTACTGGGTCTAAGGCAGCAATGAAATTCTTCACCGTCAAACCACCTTCTTCAGCAAGTACACCAGCAGCACGTGCTTTCTGTGCAGCCCCTTCATTTTCAAACCTTATATAACCTGATTCTGATCCAATCGTGAAATCAACAAACTGCACAAGGAAACCCATGAAACTTGAGATGTCACTCTATGCTTTCTTGATGCATCATTTACAGTTCTGTTTCACATACATATCCTGATTTTACTCAACTTCAGAAAAAAGAAAACTTTGAAGCTTCGATTAGATTAAAAAAAATGAATTGTGGACAGAACCAAAACACACAGTATCATGTCATTATTACAGACTTTATTTTTTCCGAGAAATGGTAATTGTGTCCTTAATAACAAATATATTGCAACGATTTTACAATAGGTTCATTACTATAATCTGTAGTCCCAGCAAATTGTTTTGGATTGCTAATAATCCTGTGATATTTTCTCAGTTAGCATTTTTTGTTTGAGATTGGGCAAGACCAAAAGGAGACAGCTCCATACTTCTCTTCCACAATAGTAAGCATACTTCAGTGTTCATCAATTATAAGATAAGGAACTACATTCATTTTGCTAATCCCAATAGAAGGATACAAAAAGTAACAGCAATAGATAACACAAAGAAAGGACCCTACGAATTACATATATTGAACAAAATGAACAAATAAAAATGGAGAAAACTTACCTTCACAGTGCCAAATTTTTGGAAAATGCTCCTCAAGTCTTCGCGCATAACAATGTCCTTGTTGTCCTTGCAAGCAGGAATTGATAATTTTTCTTCAGCAGGAGCTTGATCATCCTCTTCAGTTGGACTGTCCATGGATTTCTCTACAGCTTCAGGATTCTGAACATCAGTCTCCCCACTTCCATTCTCAGCATCTTTTTCATCATCCTTATTGTTGTCTTCATCTCTAACTTCTGACACCTCTTCTGTCACCTTGACATTGTCTTTTGTTGTATCTTTATTGCCTTCTGTTTCGGGAGCACTTGCGCTTTCAGCAGCCGCTTGATGATTACCATTTTGTTCTGTAGAGCTTTTTCTCTTCAACTTAAATGCAATGATCAAGCCCTTTGGATAGCTGCAACCATCACATCCATCGAGTTAACACCACATGGCAAGCATGCTAACAAAATACCAAATTAGTAAGGACTCACTACTTAGCGGTAGCATTATACTCACTCTAGTTCAGGCTTCGAATTGTTTTTACTATTTGGACCAAGATGAGGACGGTTATGCTCAACTTCTTTCTCTTCGTTGGCTCTTTCTACATCGAAATCTTTCCTGAATAACAGCAAACCAGTGATATGTATGAGCAATCATTGAAAGTAAGTTATGAATGGAACCGCTAGAACTTGTATCAATGAAAACTTATATTTGAAGCATTGGCCATTAAAATGAACAGTATCTTCCACTGGAATTAAGACATAATAATGATGCAAGATTGTGAAAAAATAATAGATTCTATTTACTTACTCAAGTGAGCCTACTAGGTTACATAGCCAATGTTTGGACAGGTTTAACTGAAAAGGCAAATCTGAACCCTAAGACAGCAAAGCCTAGACAAATAGAATACAGATCCATGCTTTCCCAGGACAACGCAGGTTAATGTACATCATAGATTTCTCGGCCCTAGTGACATCGGTGACTCCCTCATGCCCCCCCAAGGGGGCAAAATAAATAATACCCCCCCCC